GAAGTTACTGTGTCTTTGTTGGGAGTCAAAATGTTATCCTTGATGAATGCGATACCTACTCGTTGTATACTTTGCAGTTTCATACAGTAGCAGAATCTGGAGGAAGTGCCGCTGTTGCAGTAGGCTGTTAAACAAGCCGTGCAGGGCAGTCGTAGCATTCTGGTGATGGAGCAGTGGTGTGTGCAGACTCCGACGGGGACTTTTCGTGGGTGCCTGTTTTGGAGGCGTTGCACTGCAACAGTGCTGGCAAACACTGACACTGTTGCCAGCTGTGGTGTTCATGGAGATCACTGGCAAAATGGCAGGGAGTTGCAATTCTTCTTCGCTAAAACATCTTGAAATGGGACGTCCTGGACATCAGTACAGCTCACTGTTGTTCACCTCTACAAGATGGCACAATTCTATCTCCAGGTGGACTCGTACCCCAAAGTGCTCTCTCTGCAGTGCAAGTGCACAGGCCTGAAGCAAATATGTGTTGTTCTGAAATGCATCTTTGACTCAGCGGGAGATAGGGTGTCCCCATCGGCCTCTCTCTGCCAGGGGTTAGGAAGGGGCTGCTCCCTTGCTTCACAGGGGTACAAGGCCTGGGAATCTGCACATTGCGAACGAGCGGTGGGAGCAGTTGGTTTCCTGCAGTGATTTTAAGGAAGAGGAGGAATATTAAGCAGGAAAAAAATAATTCTTAGTGGAAGAGGGCTGGAGACAAAAGCTGAAAATTGGGGGAATTAGAGGAGAAGGGAAAGTAGCAGAGAGTGGAAGTGGAGGTAGGGACCAGAGTGGAGTTCTCTGAATGGCTGTCCCCGGGTGAGAAGGTCAGGTGTCCATAGAGAGAGTGAAGGGGCTTGGCCAGGACAAGTTACGGTGGCAGAAGCAGGAAGGGGTGCACTGTGGCTTGGCAAAGGTGCTGGGCACAGGGAGGTTTTCAATGGCTGTAAATCAGAACCAACACCAAATGCTGCAGGTAATTGGGAGGGTGTGGTGTTGCTGGAAGGATGCACAGGCAGCTTGCATGGAGAATGGAGGAGACTGGGAGGAAGTATCGGTGCCAGAAGCAAGTTATTTCCCTTGATGTTGATGGGAGGGAAACACTCTTCATCCTGCAGTTGTACAAGAGCTGGCATTTTGTTCCCACAGGACTTGAGCAGCTGCAGATCGACACCTTGGGGTGTAACTGCTCGGTAGTGCTTCACGTCAGGCCCTTCTCAGGCTCTTCTCCTCAGGAAGCTGCATGCAGCTTGGTTTTCCTGAGCTTTTACACCAGGAGGCAGAATTCCTTGTGACAGTCACATATTTTGGTAACTTTTAGGAACTTCCCAGCCAGTGACGCTGAAATGCCTTTGAAAAGGCACTAGCACCTTGATCCTGTGGGGCAGGTCTGGGAGTTGGGGATCTGCCTCCTTGAAAATGCCCTGTCGGAGTTTTTTGGAAAGGGATGCTGCAACGTTTGGAAGTCCCAAATCAGGCCTTTGCTCCTGTCAGGTTTGGCTTAGATGTCCTTCAAAGTCTGGGTAGTTCTTTATCATTTTCCCTCCAACAATACTGAAGTGCTTTAAAAAGCACTGAAAGCCAACAGCCAGGGTTTCCATGGCTCCACAGGAACGATTCCAGCGCTGGTGCGTTGCTGTGAGCTGGTGGTGCTGTGCACAGCCTGTACCTGTGCTACGAACCCGCGCTCGTGGGCAGCCCTGTAATAACAAAGCTGTGTGGACAGCCAAAAATAGCAAGAATTTCCAGACACAGACAGAATAGAACCTGCGCGGCTAAGGCATGCAGAAGTCTGATAAAAGGCAGGAAAATCAATACTGTTATTTAGAAATAATAACAACCCCCCCCACCCTGAGCCTAAAAATAGCACGCAGGAATCTTGAAGGGGTAAATGTTTTCGAAATAGGATTCTGGTGAGCGCTACTTTATTTGCTTTGCCAATCAAATGTTGTAATTCCTTTGTTCAAATAAATGTGCTCGTGCACTGGCTGCTCTAGCAGACTGGGTACAGTGTGTGGTTCACGCAAATTTGCCAGTGTGAGCATACTGCAAATGAGTTTCTCATCGGTATTGATCTTCCCATTGTGTGTAGCGCAGAAGTCAATTACACGATGTGATTGACGAAGTAATTTGCCACGCTCAAATCAAAGCGTGATACAGGTGTGTTCCCCTCTGCATTTTGCATGGAGCAATTTTATGGAGGTTTCGCTGTGTTTAAACCTGTTGTGTAATGCTTAATCATTCTTGATTCCTGATATTCCCAGTCACTTTTGTGCTAGGTGTAGTTGTCATTGTCTTAGCAGCGATGACAAGAATAAAGACGACGTTGAAGTGGTAATGCTGATTTACAACCTGATAGAATTGCCTAGCTTATATACGTGTCATGCTTATTGTAGCTTAATTCCTCATATCCCTGGGAGGCTTTTTAAGAGGGTTATAGCCATTTAAAATTAGTTTTAAGGAGTCATGAAAACACACGTCTGTTGTTGGAAACAGCTCTTAATGTGCAGTTGAGGTAAACAAATACTCTGCAGCGTTACAGGTTGCGGAGGCTGTGATTTCGCAGTCTGGCGGTGCTGGAGCCAGGTCCCAGCCCCAGACAGACCGAGCTGTTGGCGCTGCTGGACCAGCCTGGAGAACTGCAACCGAGATTTGTCATCGTGGCACCGGGGTGGGGCAGCTCTGTGCTACTGAACGGGACCGGTGTGTCCAACCTGCTCCAACTCGTCTGAATATAGCTGTGGTAAAATATGTGAAAACGGATGGAGACAAAAGCACTCCAAATCTGCGCGTACAGTGGTCACTCGCAGATGGTGGCGTTTGCTGCCGATTCTGTTGTCTGCGATGTAAGGCAGTGTTTTAAGTGGATAGGTAAATAATTTTGTAAATAACCATAAATTGTCTTTCACTATTGTGATTAGATTGGTGGAACACCAAGTGGGGTTTGCAATGATTTTAGTGGACGTGGTGCGAGAGACGAGTACTTTCGTAAGGAAAATGTGCGCCTTTCTTGCTGAGGGTTTTGGTTTTGGGGAGGGGGGAATAAGTCTCTCAAATAATTTCACTTTGAACTGAAGGAATGGATCATATCCCAGAGAGGATTTTTCTTGCTGTACCGGAATAATTAAAAAACGTATTCAGTGGATTGTAAATTATTAATCACAGAAGTTAGAGCTGGAAATGCCTATTAGATGATCTGGTGCATTTCCCAGCTTGTGGGGGATTTAGTCCTCTGGCAGTGTCCCTATCAGATATTACACTTTAAATTGATCACAGAGCTGTTTAAATTTCTTTCTTTCTTTCTTTCTTTTATTCCTCCTCCCTCCCTGTAAGAGTTCATTTGACTGTAAGTGTACACTGGAACAAGTGTGGACATGTACGTAATGCAGCTGATGTTCGTTATAATCAGGAGATGTCCGAGGCTGTCGTGACAATTGTACTCCTCCATGCTGCTCCACAGGGCAAACGTTGAAGGATTTTTCAAGCACTGTCAGAATGGCTTCACTGGCAGAAGCGCTGCAGATTTTTGCACAGTATCTCTCACTACCTGTGGTGGTAGCTCTTACTTCTGCAGGTTTGTGAAGAGCCTTCTCGGGCTACCGGTGAATTGCAGAGGCACGGAGGGATTTGCTGTGGGCTGGAACATCGGTGGAGAGGCAATTAGGAACTCAAATTGGATACTAACGTTTGATACACGGAATGGGAGCGCTGCATGCGTTGCTGCCTTGTCTTTCACAGTGAATTAACATTGGTAACAACTAAATTTGGTGGAGCTCAGAGTCTGTCAACATATGTTGAGCAGTGATGTCTTTAATATTCCCAGGCATGTGGCTGGAAACCTTTTGAAGGCTGAGGGGTGGAAGGCGGCTTCCTGTTTGTAAGTCCATTCTTTGCAAATTTTGTCTCCTGCAGTGCTCTCCTGGAAAATTGGAGTTCCTTCATTAGCAGATATTTTAGCATGGCTAATTTCCCCTGTGTTCTGTGGTGCTGATAAGTGACTCCATCTCTTTATTGTGACAAATAGCGGAAGGAAAAATATTCTCCAACGCGAAAAGGCTCTGGGGTTAAATGTTGTCACGTTTAGGGGGGTGTTGCTAGGTTGGTTGCTTTTTGCCCCTTTTTTTGTTTTTATCCTTCCTTTGATGATGTGTGTGCTTTGTGACACAGACAGGGAAGCATTGGAAAAGGTGCAGCGTTGCTGGGTGCAGGGTCCTTAGCAACACACGGCTCAGTTTTACCAGCGACGTTTGTGTTGAATTTAAGAGATCCTAACTTTTGGGAATTGCCATGGGATATCGAAGTCCTACTCTGTGAAACGTTCAGTGGGACAAAGCAGTGTATATTCCCTTCGTTACATTGTGGTTTGCTGCTAAAACTCTTTGCCTGCCCACCTCAGGGCAGTTTTCAGACGCGGGTGTTGTCGCCGGCCACCGATGTGCTCGGGTGGGTGTGTGTGTGGCCACGTGGGTGTTTGGGCAGAGCCAAATCTGCATTTCCAGGTGCTGGGCTTGGGGCTCTGCTCAGGTGTGGAGTTTGGGGTGAGCTGTGCTGGGGTGGTGTTTGGTTTGGTTTTTTTAAATGAGGTTTCCAAGAGAATGCAGCTTTCTGGTGCAGTCCAGGTTTTTATTGAGGGGGGGTGGACACCTTGGCGAGGTGAGCAGTTGATATGCACAGAGTGTCTTAAAGCAGTTCCTGTAGCCCCAGTGCAGTGCATGCACGCCTGCAAGGTGCCCATTTCTGTACCACCGGGGCAAGACGTGTACGGTGTAAGTAAAAGTGCGTGCAAAATGCACGGCATCCATTTTTAACGAATCACAATCAATGTACAAATGTTCTTGCATTTTAGGAGCTTCCCAGGTTGTTCTTTGGTGCAGTGATCTCCCCTAGATACAAAACTGTTAGAAAGGAAGGGAACACACTTTATTTTCTTTTGAATCCTAAAGAACCTCACAAATGCAGTGTTGGAGAGTAAGGTTTTTGCGTGAGAGCAACAGGTCTGAGACGTAAGGAAGTGCGCAGCTTGGCAGGACCTTCTGTCAGAATCCCACTTTTCTCTCTGCTTGTGGCAAAAGCAAATATCCAGCGTCAACCACATAAGGGATGTTTACTATTAATGTGGTTATCAGTAATCAAGACTTTGTGTGTTCATTTGGTTAATCAGTCTGCTCTGAAGACCATCATTGAACAAGAAGTATTTCCTGCTTGACTCGTTTTGGGTAACGCTGCCATTTTGACAAAAATCATGTGATAATATTTAGGAAATTTTTTTTAAAAAAAGCTTTTATTTTAAGTTGAATTTTTGTGACTAACATCTGTATGTGAGCACCCTGCGTTTACACAGCAGGTAGATAACACGGTAGGGGCCGTCCATCACTCTCACAATTTCACAAGAGCACAAACCCTTTCCTTTCCCAGCACCCAAGAGGACCCAAATGAGTGAACCCCGAAAGGATGCAGTGATGGCAGAGGCAGCAGCCCCCTCATTGCAGATTCTGGACGCATCCCTCTACCCGCCCCAGTCCCCCTCACACGGTGTTTGTGCTCTTGGTGACGCGGTGAGGACAGTGACGGCCCCTGCGCTGCAAACCTCTCGCCCTCCCCTTGCCTGACGCTGTGCTCTTGCTCACAGGTGCACGCCAAGTTCCGGTATCCCTTCTACTATGAGATGTGCTGGTATGTTCTGGAGAGATACGTGTCCTGTGTGACCCAGCGCTGCCACCTCAGCCAGGAGCACCGGAGGGAATCAATGGTCGTTGGTGAGTGCATCAGAGCCGCAGGCACCGCAGGCCTGGCCACTGCTGCGGCTGCTGCAAATCGAACTGGAGAACTGCTTCTAATGAACTGTTCATTTCTTTTAGGGTGGGGAAGGTTTTGACTCAAGCATTTCCATGAAGTGTCAACCTACTTCAAGTTATATTTATTGAGCGTTCCCTTAGCAAGTGGATCCCAGAAAATTAAATTTGGGTTGCGTTTGTTCCTTGGTTTCAGTGGTATTGCTGTCCAGATGATCTGCCAAACAGTTGAGTGTTTACTGGCACGTTTGGCACAGCACCTCAGTAGCCAGAAATGTGTGCATTGCAAATGCGCTCTGGTAGGGTGGACGTTTAGTCGTTTTATAGAGCACCTCCTCTGCAGAGTGCGGTATGGTCACTAAACCTAGCTTCTTTCTCTTCTCTTTCCGTTAATCTCTACACTGTTTCTCTCTATTTGGTGACAGACTTCTAGTTTTGCAGCATAGCAAAACCAAGAAAACGCCTACACAGATCTACGTGATCTATAACCTAAGTGCAGGGAGGTCAAAGAAACCTTTACAGCAGCTGGAAATGGACCACAGCAGCAAGGGATGGATGTGCCTGCAGCGGGAAGGCATTGCCTTGGCACGGTCGTGAGCTTTGTGTGACAATTCCAGGTGTTGCCTTGCTGAACCACTCTCTTTTTCCTCCCTTTAATGAACAAGGTGATGGGCCACGTTGTCTCCCTGCTTTTAAGACAATAGCTGAAAGTAGCAGCAGTGAAATGTCAACTGATAGATGTGAGGTGTGGAGGAGAAGAGCGTCTGGACCGTCTGCTCCCTGAGTGCCACTTGGAGTGAGCCTGGCGTGGTTGGACAGAGTGGGGAGATGGTCACCTCCTCCATGGTTCTTAGCAGAAGGAGTTGAAGTTACGGGCAGATATCACTCTCCAGTGAGTTTTACTGACCCAGAGTAGCTCGAGGAAGCCAATAGTCTGTGTGGATAAAGAGGGAATTTTCTTGGAATCCCCAGGAATTTGGGTGCTTCACATTTTGTGTCTCTTGTTTGCTCTGCGAGACCCTGGTCAGAAGGGTTGGTTACGCAGGAGCTCTGCGTGAGGGATTTTTCTCTTTGTGTGAGATCACCCTAGAGCAAAGGATTAATTAACCCCTTGGCTCAGCTCTTCAGAAAGCAGTGACAAAACTCTGGTAACTGCATTCCTGAGGAAATAAGGAACCCCCTCCCATTGTCTGAACACCGGCATGAAAGCGCTTATGCCGCGGACAGAACTGGGGTGCCCAGTCACTGAGGGGTGACTTCACAACAAATTACACGTGGAGAGTGGATGGCGCAGGATATCGAGATGGGACCTTTTCAACTAAATCACCAGTGTGAATTCTGGCCCAGCTCGGTAATTACTGATAATGGTTTGGTGGCTGCCACAAAATGTGCCTTGGTCCAGTTACGAACTGAGAGATGCTCAAATCATGTAAAAACTCACTGGTAGCCATAGGTGTCAGTGTCTAGAGGGAAAAGGGTTGTTTTACATGACCAAAGAGTGCCAGCTGCAAAGTCCTCAGGAACAGGAGCCTGGCTGTTTGGAAAATGGTTTGGTGGAAACAAAAATGGTTTGGTGGGCTCTGTTGTCTGTTGTGGTGGCCTTGGTTGTTGGCCTGAAGGAAAGTGAGTGGTGAGTGCTGTTGCTGTTGTTTGGGCATGGTCCATGGGTCGTTTCCAGCTGCTGCTCTCCCAAGACTGGTCTGTGTGGTGAACTCAGAGATTGCAGCTGCCCTGCGAGCTGAATCAGCTCAGTGAGCTGACTGGAAATTAGCACCTGAAAAATGGACGTATCTGTTCTCAGACGGAGCTGGCCTGACCTGCAGTGCTGCTGCGTGGCTGCGGTGCCGGGGTGGGCACAATCCTGAGCTGTTCCCACTGTCCTGAGGGAATGGAGGCTCAGCTCCCTGCAGCGGTGTCTGCTGACAGCTGTGCTTCATCCGCTGCCTGCGCTCTTGCCTGCAGAGCATGAGCAAGCTGATAAAATCTCTGACATTCCCATCCAGGGCTTTTCTCTCCAGGAGACACAGATGTGTACTCTTTTTATTGTCAGAAACTTGCTATTTCTTGGCAGAATCTTAACCTTACAATAATTATTTAACGGGGATTGTGGCTCCAAAGCCCAGAGCTACGCTATCTACTGGATCTTTCATTTTGGCGTTTGTCAAATTCACATAATTTACCTTTACAAAGCTCTGCTGCTTTGTTCTGCGTGAGTAGTGCTGTTTCAAATACTTGCTTGTGTCATTTCTTTTAACCGATCTCGGTGTCCAGCCTCTTGACTCAGGTCTCTACGAGCTGTAATCGCTGAATCACACGTGTTTGTTCTGGGCTGTCTGTATCTTGACACCATTCACCTGCTGTGGGATAGGAGAGCCACATGAGCTCAGTGTTCCAAAACCCCACCACTCTGGTTTTATGCCTTTTTCCGGAACTGCTGAGGTCCTTAAACTGTCTCCTCCTTAGAGACTTCTCTATCTGCAAGCAGTTTCTTGATTTCCCATGGGAGAGCATCCCTTGATGAAGAATTTCCCATTACTCTCCTTAAAGAGTAATGAAACCAAGTACTTCACTTCTCTGCGGACCCCTCAATAGATTCAATTCTCTTCTGTCCTCCTTGGTTTAAGAAAGAATTCTTTACATCCTTGTATTCATTTTCAGAAATTTCTCTTGAATGGTCTTAACGTTTCTCCTAGTTTTTAAAAAATAATTTCCTTGACTTAATTTATACTAAATGCCCACTTTCTGCCTTTCCCTTTGGGTGCTAGAGCTTGTAGTTTTGGCTCCTGAGTTGTGCTGCTCTTTCCCCTGCACATCCTGAGGCAGTGGTGCTGCTGGATCTCGGGAGCTGGGAAGCCGCAGTTGCTGATGGTTTGAGGAGGACGTCAAACAGAGGGAGCACAGGACGCACCCGTGCCCTCGGGATCACAGGGTGAAGGTTTCCACAGCACTGGTAGGGATCCTGCACTCCTTTTCACAGGAAAAGGTTCCTGTGGGGACAGAGAACATCTTTGGAGAACGCAGAACACAGTTCATCAGCAATTGCATTTCGAGGATGTCTTCAGACTCTTCATACTACGGTTTCATTACTTGTACTTGTTTTGATATGAAGGGTGCTAAATTCAGAGCGGCTCTTTGAAAACATTGCCTGCTTGTGAAAATGTATTGTTGTGTTTGTGTTGCGATACCTCTGTCCTGATAAGTGTATGTTAGTATAGCAGCTTACGTTGTTCCCTGTACTCCTGTTTTCTAAATGTCTCCACTCACAAGACCTCAGACAGAAAAAAAACCCCAAAAACCTCACCTCAGGGCAGGCAAGGCTCAGCCCTCAAGTGTTCCCAGTCCCTAAATACAAATGTCTGCCCTCCTAAATGAGCTGGAAGATGAGGAACTGTGGCTGCCTTTCCCATTCTTAGGGCAATCTCTCTTTCTCTCTTTTTTTTCTTTCCTCATCCCTCTCAGCTGTGACGTTTGTCCTGCTGGCTGAAATCAGAAGGGGGTTTTATTTGGGTTTCCCAGTAGATTTGAACACCGTCATTTTGAGATGGGTTTGTCTTTGTATTTTTACTCTTATCACAAATGAGTCTGTACTGGACATTTTCTACCACAATTGACCTTCAGTGAGCTATGGATCTTGCCAGCGAGCCGACAAAGAGGAACTGGGGGAAGGTCCTGGGCTATCAGAAATGCGCCTTCTCTGCAGCCCGCAGCTTTTAAGATTTCCATTACTAAAATTCTAACAGGGCGGCTCTACCTGTGTGTGAAGCCTGATGGATGAAGAGAATATGAAACAGGTCCTCTGGCATGGTGAAGGAGCCATATCTCTCTTTTTTTTTTTGACCTGGTATTGACTGGTGCGTTGACTCAGAAGAAGAAACCTCAGCTGCACTTAGCTGGAGCTCTTTTCCATGGAGAGACTTCATAAAGCAAAACCCTCTGTATCAGTGGAACCCGGTAATACAGTGCTTGAAATGCACTTCTTGTCAAAGCGAATGCAGATTATGCTTATGCAGGGCCTCAGCTCACAGCACAGTAACTCTGTCAGATACTCTTTTCATTAAAATGAATAAATAAAAATCACGGCATGTTGCGTTACAACAAAACACTTGAAAACACAAAATTGACCCCTCCTCGCATTGAAGTTATCCTTCCACTATTGATCCCCTGGGCTTTCTTTTTTCCCAGTTAGCAGCAGCAGCAGACAGTTGTCTCTTGAAAGCAGACCTCTCTTCATCTCATGGTGCAGTAATCCCCGGACGCTCCAGAACAGGGACACCCCAGGTCAAGAGCAAGCCCTGTCCCGAGAGTTGAAGTTAGACATGGCCTGGCATAACTGCCAGGCTGGCAGAGCACGGGACACTTGTTTGGTCGTGGCTCATTTTGGGGTTAGATTCAGGTGATTTTCTGTCTGTGTGTGCAGGGAGGTGGTGGCAGGACAGAGCTGTGGCCCCTCTGTTGCTGCTGGCAGAAACAGGCCCCGCTGTGCTGCGCGGTTCCCGCTCCTCTCCTGCCTTTTGTCTGCAGAGATCAGAGCAACAGACAACAAGTGGAGATCTCTCTTGAAGGCACTGGAGCATTGCTTGGAGTAAATTATTCACACCTCCATAACGTGATCTCCCTCTCTTTCTTTGGGCCTTGTCTACGCTTGCGATTTGCCCCAGTTACAGCCGTTAGTTCCTGTTCAGCAGAGCCACAGCATAGGAAGACAGAAACATAATTTTCTTTGTTCGGATTTATACCAATTTCTCCTAATGACTCTGCACTGGTACCATGGGAATGTGTATCTGCTTTCACCTTCTCCTGGTTTATCTCTGGCATCTCCTCCTGTCTAGGCTGGGCTTTTGTGCTTCAGTTGATTGTAAAATGGTTCAGCAGGGGAGGAG